GACTGATTCAGCTGTAGCAGATCTTCCTCTCCGGCCTCATCAGTCCAGATGCGGGAACAATGATCCTCTAGGATAACCTGCGCATCGTCTACGTCGTCACAGACGAGAGCAGAGAGCTTCTTGCGTAGACAGGCACTATTAACTGCTGCAGAAGGGACACGAGAGGTCATTAGAAAGCGTGAACTGGAGGACGCCCGTCGACGACCACCGGTCTCTCGAGAAAATGAGCGCAACGGGAGATTTACTGCAAGATCCTTCCCCTCAAATTGTTGAGAGGGCTGTTGCTGTTGTTGTTTTTCCGCGGAGAACTCTGGGTCGAGTTCAGTACTCTCAGCAGCCGCATCTGTAGGCTGCATCCGGGAGAGCAGTTTTTCCATTTTACCACGGGATTCCCGCACTTTCTCCAATCTATGGCTGAGAGTCTGAACAAAGGCATTGGGATCAACCTCGGCAAGGTTTGTGTGGGGTTTCCGTGATTCGCTCGCGCCGGTCTGCGAAGTGACCTGACTCACGCCACCAATATGCGCTGGCTTCTGCATCTCTGAAGTCGCGTTCATGAAGGCGATTAGATCCGAGGCAGTGACTACTTCAGCGCCGTTGGTAGACTCCGTTACGCCTGCAACTTCGGCCGCAGGTCGTGGAGGTGCTACAGCATTCTCAACTGAAGAGGACCTACAGCTTTTAGAACGAGAGTAACAGGAGGGAGAGAGAGAGAGAAGAGAAAATGTCAGTTAGATTTGCTGAAAACCCAAAAATATACAGCACCTAACTAGAGGAAGATAATTCTCTCAAAGAAGGAAGAACAGAAAAACACACAAGTTAGTGCTGTTCAAAACATGCGCAGACGGTGAGATGGTAATAGCCCGACACACAGTCCTCGTGTGTATAAGAAAGCCGCCTATAACGCTCCTCCACTACCCGCCCACAGCTTTCATGAATTATTCGCATCAAAAAGATTGACTGCTTTTATAATTTCAGTATGCAAAATGCTGCACACTTCAAAGTTCATTTTTGAAGGGCCGACGATCAAGCCAACAGTTAAGCCAGTGTCGTTTTGGAGTCCATAAAGTCTCAAGTTATTTGAGTTACGTCAGTCAGTCGACAATCAAATTTGCCTGTGAAACTAATTACGTGAAATTCCTTACTCAACTATCTCACTTCAAGGGGACTTGGAGTGGGAATTGCGAGAGTTACCTTTATGATAGCGATGAACACGTATAAGGACTGTTGAGCTTTGGAGGATTGTAGATGGGAGCGCTCGTCTTCTCCAGAGTCCCCAGTTTATACTCAGTAAAAATTAGTCGGTACTTACGGACATGGAACAAATGCAAGCTCAGATTCGCGTGTCAAATGAGGCTTTACAAATACGCGGGCCAGGCCAGGCAAGAGGCGCAACAACCGGTTTCGTAGTGCGACATCCATTCAGACACCGGAAATACAGCCTGTTGCCAGGCGGCCCTAAAAGGCTGCACCGTCTTTTCGGGGATGTGTAGCAGAGTTAATCACCATGCCCCCCCCCCCTTAGTGTGTACGAGCCAGGAGAGACAGTTTTACGGTCATCCTACCCCTCCATTTTCGTCCGCGTAAATTTATCGCTACTAACGGAGGTTGCTCTCTCTCGCTCTCGCGCCACTATGGCAAGAGTAGCATCCTTGGTCAGCGTGAATTCATACGCAACTGCAACACGGCAGCCATGCAATCCCTCCTCCTCCGAGATGGCAAACATGCATATACATAAATGCATGCTAATGTGTGTTGAGGTGGGCGCGCACAGCGGCGGCGGCACACAGAGCGCATTAATTCCCCCTTCGACTATCTGGCCACAGCGGCAAGTCGACAACCTTTGAACTGTTTGCGCCGACCGCCAGCATGCGGCGGTGTGCGGAGTCACCGCCGCCCGAAATGTGATTTAGGCACCGCCAGCGGCACCGGACCACGGGGACAACAAGCGCACAGGGCACGACTCGGTCTCGTGCACAGACACACACGAGTCGCGCCTTTCCTCTCGCGCGCTCTCTCTCTCGTAGAGCGCACGGCCTGTGGCGAGGGCGCTTTGATGTCTGCGCCGGGGCAGAAGAGCATCGGTGACGGAGGAAGAGGCGGCGGCGGCAGCGGCAGCGGAGGAGATGAAGATGCGTATGCGCCTACGGACGCACGCGTCAGAAGGAGCAAACGGCAGTCCACGAGTGGTGGTGGTGGTGGTGGAAAAGGGATTGGGGACGGCGCGGGCACGACGTGAGCGGCAATCAACAAAACGGTGCTGCCTCCGCTGCCACCGAGCCGTTGGCAGCGGAGGCTCAATGGCCTTTTCTGTGAAGGCGAAGCTTTTGTTGAAGGAGAGGCGGGAAAACGGCCCTCGCCAGCTTTTTCTGAGAAAAAAAAACTTCAAAAGCTTTTCCCTTCGTCGCCACACCAGCTTTAAGCAAGCACCGCTGACCGTTTAGTTTGCTGTCCTCTGGTCATAGAAACAATGATCAAGATCGAACCTCACAGCCCGGGCAGAAAACTGTGATGGAAAATGACTAAATCTGCCTGAGACATCTCGCCCCAATTTGAGCAACAGAGGAAAGAGTAAGTACCTAGCGAGCAAGGCTCCTTACTTACTAACATCAGTCAGTTAAAAAAAATGTGTCTAGGACGCGCCCGAACTCTTCCGGTAGGCTATAGGCAGAAGAACTAAGTGTAGAACCTATAATTGTGGGTATTAAAAGCAGAATACGTAGAATGCGAACTCTAAACCTAACAGGAACTATAAGGCCGGCACTCGACGTGCGTTGTGGGAGGGTCGTACGGTTGAATAGAACGCCTGTGCATCCGAATATCTGGCTTGTGCTATTCCTAGGCCGAGTGGATAAGACATTATTTTTGCGAGTCTCGACATTCCAACGTCAAGGGGAATAGAGTCTCGTCCTCTGACTTTGCAACTAAGGTGCGACGAATTGCCGACCCAGCAGCCAGTGCTTTCAGACAAGAACCGCCATAAACTAGGACGTTTTAACTATTGATGCATTATAAACAGGACCGCTGGCAGGTTATGACCCGTAAGTCAGTTCCAAAATACGCGCACGTAGCAAGTACTCCATACAAGCAACGGAGACTGGAAGAAATAATGGGACAATCGTTCTAGAAACCTTTCTGAGCAAGGTGATAAATCAATTCGAAATATAAGCACGCAACTGATTAGATCTTCAGAGGATAACCTCTGTCAGTCGTACGTTTCTAAGTCAAAACGGGTGCTGCAAACGATAACAAAGTTGCATAAGTCATTAGTGGGATTTCCGGTCGCTGTTAAATGTGGCCAAAGTCGACTGGGCCTATTCGGTTAAGGATGACGCATTATTAATAACCCTGCACCTCAAGTCATAAACGCAAGCATAGGAGGCCAAACTTTAACAAGCGGTTCAAAGAAGAGAGGTCAAATCGCACTGGAAATGCATTAAGAAAGAGTGGATTTTACACTGAAAGCGGGGTCGGTCGTCAAAAAGGAGAGCTAAATGACCAGGAAAGGACCAATTTTGATTACAAAACATCTGAGTTATTGTGTGGAATTCTACAAAATTTGTTGAACGACCAATTCGATGTTTTATAAAAGACCACAAGTTCACCGGAAACGTGTAGACTACCCGCTTACCCTTTTTACCTTCCACAATACACAAAACAACTTTTAGCGAGCTTGAGGGCAGGCAACCAGGTGATTATAAGTGCTTTATTTTCATTGGTAGATGAGTGACCAATCACCGTAGCGGGTGGCGCTGAGGGATGTAGATTGCCGACCAAAGCAAACAGCGGGGAGGAAGCGGCACTTCCTTCTCAATTGTCCCCCGCATAAACCACCCACAGGTACACTGCTACCAGGACGATTTGTAACAGCCAACAGACGGCGCGGAAGTAGGTTCACTTCCTACTCGGTCAGGGACTCGGAAAGCTAGTCCAACGAGGTAAAACACCAAGAAGACTACAGACACCCAAATCAAACGGCAAAAGTACTAGTAGCCAGTGCTTATTGTAGGTTAATGCGATAACCATAAAGCTTATTTTGACCCAACTATGAAAAGCTCGACGATATTATCGGTGGGATTTGAACTAACAACAGCAGGGAGAAAGCTTGAGCACAGCCAACGCTCTGGCCACCGGACCTACGAGGCTTCACCGGGGGCCATGAGTTTAATCATATTTTGGGTCAAGTTACTCGCCCAGCCCACATGGCTCAGGTGATAAGGGAGTTAGCTGTTGTAGGTTGGAATCCCACCGATGTCGCGGAGTTTTTCCCAATTGGGTCAAAATAAACTACCCAAAATCTGCCAAAACACCTATTTATGATCATAAAGGTCTAGTTAGGACTGTTCAACTGACTTCAGTTTTCTTGCGCGCCATCCTCGACGGTCTGAGGCCGTCGGGCAAAAAGCAAGCTTTTAGAGGGTTCGTTTTGTCGATAGATTTTAGAACAATGAGGCACAGGAGAACTTTGCGCTCCAGAGATCCGTGCTTCTAATGTTCAGTCGAGCAGGGTGGCTCTAGTGGAAGGCCTACTTTGCATATTAGCCCCCCCCTCCCGGAGAGGTGTCATCAAGACAAGAGTAGAAATCGGTAGGATGACGGCAGCGGCGGAAAAGGACCCCAGTTAGCCTTGTTTCGTTCTCTCTCTCTCGCTCACTGTGTGTGTGTGTCTTTATCGGTCTCCGTAGCCGCCTGTTTTTGCCGACGCCGCCGCCGCCGCCGCCGCTGCCGTCGGAAGTATTGTATGTGTACATATGCGCCGGATGCTCCTCCGGCACACACACACACACACACACACACACACACACACACACACACACACACGCAGGAATAAGTTGTGCGTACACACTGTTCAAATAGCAGTTAGCTTGGCTATCGGGCGAGCCAGCGGACGCGCGCAAATCCAAGCACCGCGAGCCGGCGGCAGAGCAGTTTCAGATGTCGGCGTGCCGCCGGTGTCGGAACAACCATGACAGGCTAGGCACGCGCGCACACACACAAGCATGCCGCAGTCGCCGCCGCCGCCGCCGCCGCCGCCGCCGCCGCCGCCGCCGCCGCCGCCGCCGCCGCCGCCGCAGAGACACGACGTGTAGCGGGTACAAATGCACGCCGCCGCCGTGGCCTGCCTAGTGGACGGAGCGAGCATAACTTATAGGCACGAAAGGCACACTGCATTTTCTCCCACCCTCATTCCCTCCACTTTTTATCCCCCCGCTGCCTCACTTCCTCGCTTTCAGTGGTATGGACACACAGCACTTTGATCTCACAAAGCCGCTCTCTGTGTACAGACGGTATTTGACAGCTTTCGCGAAGAAAACGAGAAAGAGAGGGAGACCGTCGCGGTGCAAGTGCCTAAATATCAGCAGCAGCAGCAGCAGCAGCAGCAGCAGCAGCAGCAGCAGCAGCAGCAGCAGCAGCAGCAGCAGCAGCAGCAGCAGCAGCAGCAGCAGCAGCAGCAGCAGCAGCAGCAGCAGCAGCAGTACTCAACGTGGGCGAGAGCGGCTGCGCTGGATGGAACAAACGAGGTATGTGTGTGTGTATGCGAGCGGTCGGTTGGCTTGCACCGTAGAAGTGGTCAAGCGGCAAATCGATTGAGTTGGCATGGCGTTCCAAATTCTGTGGAGACATGCCTTCGAACAGTGCTGAGGGACTGTAGCAGTGCGTTATTTATAAAACCCCATTCGGGCTCAACTACGGAGCAAGTAGGGTAGAAAAAGTAGGGGGCGCTCGCCGATCGTTCTTACGGAACTCACTCGTTCCGTTGTGCCTTACGGGCTTTCTCTCTCTCTCTCTCTCTCGAGCCCAACCAGCAGCCGCACAGCGGCGTATGATATAGGCAGCATTGTTATTACCGACAAAGACAAGGGGGACTGGAATGGCCATTTCTGGCTTATTAGCCGTCGTCAGCCAGCCATACCCAACCCCGAAATGTGGAACACCCGAGGCTCGAACTCGCGACCTGTCAGTTAGAAGTCTACGTCTCTAACCACTGGGCCACGAGCCCGTTATATATGCGCATATGTATATATTCCCGATCGAAACCGACAGGGCAACGGGCTCGTAGTCCAGTGGTTAGAGGCGTGGACTTCTAACTAACAGGTCGCGAGTTCGAGCCTCGGTGTTCCACACTTCGGCGTTGGGTATGACTGACTGACGACGACTAATAAGCCAGAAATGGCCATTCCAGTCTCCCTTGTCTTTGTCGGTAATAACAATTCTGCCTAAATGAGCGAAGGGTCACCAGGTTCCCCGTCAACAGTGTTTGAAACAAAGCGCTGCATTCCCCATCGGTTGTCTAGCTGGCATGTTGGTATCATCTTTCCATCCAGACGGATCATCCCTCAAGCCGTAAATCTCATTCCCTCCATTTGTATCGTTTACCATTTTCCGCTGTGTCAATCCCGCTGTTAATAGTATACATAGTTCGTACCCTTTGACTTTGCCTACCCTCAGCTTGGATGAGATCGATGACCGCTTAACAACTCTCTTCAGATCAGCATTAACTAGGAGTTACATCTAATGATCCGCGTTACCTCGTGTGTGCAACCTTCAAAGTCTTCGGCCGTGGCAGCGGCTCCACAAGCACAAGCAAGACCGGTTACTGTGATCGACCATACTCAACACACTGATTTGGCGTGGCGTTCCAAATTCTGCCGGGGCATGTCTTCGAACAGTGATGAGGAACTGCAGTACTGGGCTATTCACAAAACCCCATTCAGTCAAATAATTGATACTCAACTACGGAACAAGCAGGGGAGAAAAAAGAGCGAAAAGTCGCCAGGTTTCCCGTCAATAATGGGTGAAGCAAAGCTAACCTCCACGATAACAATTTTCCCACACAATAATAGGTGTTGATCCAATAATTTTTAAACTCGTACTGGCGGCGAGTCTAGTCGCTAACCGTTCTGTAGTCGAGAGTTTGGAATGACCAGCACTAACAATGTTTGGTGGTGAGGCTGTACAGTAAAAACCAGAAGTTTCTATAACCATACAAACTCGAATATTGCCAGTAATTCATCTGATTCAGTTGTAAACAAGTCGTCGACCCCAGTGAAGCTCAAACCTAAAGCAATGAGGGGAAGATGTGAGTATAGCCAATAACCGCGGCCGGGGCCTCGTAGCTCAGACGTGTAGTGTTGGCTTTACTCAATCCTTGCCCTTGTCGTATCGGGTCCGAGTCCCGAAAAGTCGACCACTTTTTTACAGCTGGGTCAGATGAATTATTCAAATCTACCAAAACACCCAAGCCGGCTTGGACAGGCGGAGATTATCCTCATTAATGGAAACACGACGAGCAGAAGTAAGAAGGAACCAGAACTCAAATATGTAACAATAGGTCTACAATAGACAAGACTGAAATTAAACAACAGACTATACATAGTCGGGTAGCATTTTAATCGGATGAGAAGTGGGAAAGACAACTGGAAGGCGTACCTACCTTTGTAATTTTGTGTGGCAAAAAGGGCCAAAAGTCAAATGAATACGCGGTTGCAAACAGATTACGGCCCCATAGTCAAAAATAGTTGTTACTCCCAAGAGATGTGAAAGGAGGAAACAGTCAAAGCTTGTGAAAATTCAGGCAAAGGAGCAGCTTGATGAACGGCCCAGATAGGGGTGGGTGGTGGTATTCCCGACGCCGAGGGAGTCTGTCTGGGCTCAAATTAATGTCCGCCGCCGCCGCGGCCGGGGCGCTGCGCACACTCGGCGATTAACACTAATGTGGGGGACAATTGTGAAGATGAATGTCGGAAGTTACTTCTTCCATGGGCGGCAAGGATGTGGGGAAGTGGAGGACAGCGGGGGCGGACAGGTGCGAACAACCGGAAGCAGGCTCAGTTTAGTCCCAACAGTTGGCGGCGAAGTGTGCAGCATCAGGACGTGATTGATTGCAACCACCATAATCAGTGCCCCCCCCTCCGCCTTCCTCTCTCGCAAGCGCAATTAGCCACTCTATGCCCCCAACTCCCTCACCACCACCACCCACGGTACCCCGCTGGCCAGCAGTAGGCACTTCGAGAGATGCCGTAATAGTCTCGGGGTAATCAGCCTGACCGTTTGTCATTGCTAGCGCACACCCTCCCCCCCCCATCCACTGCCTGAGATCGGCAAGACGCAAGAAAGACGGCGCATGGGGAGGGCAGCGGCAGCAGCTTCAGTCGGCGAGAGCGTTCACGAGACTACAGCACCAGTCATCAAGTCCGCGCCAAAGGGACGAAGAGCGAACCTGATGCGGCGCGCAAGCACACAGGGTTAGAGCGGTAAGTTATCAGTCGGCGATCGAAGACGGCACAAGGCAAACGGCACACACACACGCAACCACACAGGCAGGCGTACGGCAGCGAGGGGATGTGGGCAAAGAGTGAGATCCAAGCGGACTAGGGTGTTTCTGCAGTCACCGCTGCTGATGCGCACCAGTGGTCAGTGTGCGGTGTTTCAGGGCGGCAACAAAATAGCGTGCAAACACACACGCACACACGCGCGAGCAGTGTGTGTGTGCGGAGTGCATAAGGCGCCGAAGAAGAGGTAGTTGCTTAGATTGATTGACAGCTGCCTGGCTGCAAGAGGCGCTTATCACACTTTGACCCCAACTAACGCCCAGTTCCCATTTGTGGCTCGGCAGGACTGTGCTGAACGCAGGGATAGCACACTGGCAAACACCTCTACTGACAAACGAAACCAGGTAAGGGTGGCTGGCGTGTACCTTCAAAGTTAGTGCGCCTGTGCGTGAAGGTTGATTCGTCTATCGGACGAGGACCAGTCGCGTTATGGCACACACACTGGTGGTACATTAAGCCAAGCCAGTTAATGGGCTCTATTTTGCTGCCAGTCGGCATAGTGTCCATTGATCATGACAGTGGGACTGTCATGTTCGACAATGCCAATCCTGCGGCACGTAGCAGAGTGGGCGCAAGAATAGTGACTTACACGTGAATCAGTTTTCAGTGATAGTGGACTTAACAATGAATCTACCACACTCTCTATTTCCTCAACCTGGGCGTGGTGTCAAGAGGGAGCCAAGAAGGTCGGAGGTGGGATCGGGAGCAAATGGACGGCGCGGAGTGGGCTCGCGCCTTGTCGTGCCACCACACTCCGGTCGGCTGGACAAAAACTTAAAAGAATAGACGGATACGTTGGTCACAGCGAAATAACGGAATTCTTAGAGACTACCAAAACAACCTACGGTTCGCGATCCACTGGAATTTCACTGTTGCTCATCTGGAATAAAACAGCATCGTTACTAGAAAAATAAACTGCAAAAAACAACGTTCGGCACCCGCCTGCAGCCTGGAAGGCGGCAATCAACAAACTGCCGCAAACCGAAATTTACGTTGACTTAGGCCTTCTACAGCCCTATAGGAGACCAACAATGCAGTTAAACTGCCACGAAGAGAAAGGCTGCGGACGGTAGCCCCACCGAGACGGCGCCACAGACCCTTTCGATACAGGAAATGTGAGGCATTAACCAGTGACAATGAAATAGAAGAATGCTATTGTTGTGCGCTCCAAAAAGCAAAGGAAGTATGAAACTGTAATGAACACAGGAAAATCTGCCTACTCAGCATCGAGCGAAGGGCTCCGCCCGAATTTTACCTAATTATCCGAAGCCGTGTTCAGAACAAGGTTTTCTGTCGCAGGCAGTGGGAGTATGCCCTTATTTCGAGATGGACAAAACCGAAAGGAAAAACGTCTTAACCCTATTATTCAATAAATAAAACTGCAAATCTGGATATCGTTGATTTTAGCAGCTAACGCGGAGAATTCATTCCCCTTCAACTGGTTCAACATGTTCTTTGGAATCAAAACAAAACGCATGCAAGCGTGGCACTGGCCACACTCTCTGATGTTAGTGAAATCTAAAAAGACCAATGAAATACAGCGAGGACATCAAACTACTTTCTGATCAGCAGTCATTGCGGAACTGTGAATAGTGCCGAAAAGCGGTCTCGGAGACCCAGGATTAAAATGGCCAACGACGACTACAACCGACTGCTTTTGACATTGACCGATGTCGGCGCATTTTTCATGCTTAAGCTAGCCATGCTGGACACGTCCACACTTGCTGTGGGAACGCGGACCGGACTCTGAGGAACACTACCGACGTCGATCAAACTCTCGCTACTTTCCCACACTGTACCCGCAGATTCCAGGGCCGGATCACCAGCAGTGGACAACTTCGTGGATAGCCCCAGCTCAACCGACACAACACGTCCAATTAATCCTATCACCATATTTTGCAAAATTTCAATCTACCATATTACAGAGGCACATTTAGGGGAAATGTTTAGTTCAGTGAACATTTCCGACCGAAAAGTATTCAGGCTGTCATTTAAACTGCTGAAAATGTGCACCATCGACTACAACAGGCAAACGGTGGATCAGTAAATGCGCATATTATAACATTACTGAGAGCACTTATGTTCCTTGGCTAGCTGGCAGTCCGGACAGAGCGCGCAGAACAGAAAAATTCGAAAACCGCAGAGGAATTGTAGGTACGAAATTTTCTAAGCAAGATGCGCATCAAAATAAGTGTTTTGGCAGGGGATCAGTCGTCCAAAATGTAAAGGTGATGAGACAGTATAACTTGAGCGTTGAGCGGGCGCAATTGACTGGGGGCATTGGGGTGCAAAGTACCTCAACAGTAACAGCAGTAGCAGCAAACTTTAGTTAACGCAAGCTCGTCTTGATCTGAGCAGTAGAGCAAATATCTGGCGTGCAAAATGGTAAACGCATAGTCACATCGTAGCGTTTAAACTCTGCTTGGCTTCGGACTGTCGAGAACAAAAGCAGAATGTCGGAGGTTAGACCTACATTATGCGCAACACAGACCACTTGAAGCGGTCAAAATAGTTACATTTCCCTTAAGATAACAAAAAGTGAGTCAGTCAACTGATTGAAAGTGGTAGCTGGACAATGTGCGAAGGTCGGAACAGAGCGGCGAAAGTGTTATAAAGTACGGAAAATAAGGCTTGTCATTGAAATGACCTGAAATTTAGCAAAGCACACGCGATAATAGGGCTGTGCCTAGGCGAAATTAAGAGGCATAAACATAGTACTGCGGTGAACTTCAAAGATCTTGTCAGACTGGAGTAGTCGCTAACCTTTGCAAAGCATCAGCACAGTGAGGCTTTGGGATGTTTTTTGGACCTTCAAAGTTCCGGGAGGCAGACGACTGACTGGCAGGACGGCCGAAGGCTGAAAACGGCTCGCTGAAATCGCCTATTCTATTTGCAGGCTGATTTGAAGGGTCAACAACCAACTGTTTCTCTGATTGTCTAATAATAATGGAAATAGATAAGAAATAATGGCCGTCGACTTTTGGAGGAGGACGAGCTTATTTGTAATAAATCGTAACTGAAGGTATGGGGGGAAATTTGGCGAAAAGTGGGAAGAGGCAACCTTTCAGCGTGTAAGATTCACTGTTCTCGATAAAAATTATTTTTTCTGATATTTCGAATGCATGATGGTGTTGCTGACTTTTGAAACATAATTAGCGAACTCACTTGACACAACTAAAACTAAAACGAGGGTAAGCCTGAAAAATCGTTGACAACTGCAGCTTTTGCCGAGACTACTAGGGTTAGATAACTGATGTTTTGCAATGGCCTTCGCACACCATTGAACCGACCCGTCTCAGAAAGGGTGCAAATGCGTGAGCCGCAATCCAAATGGTAAACGACTAGGTTGACGAGGAACTAGCACGACACCAAAGTCTGTAAGATTAATGTGACCGAAGGCCATAAGCACTTTAATGAATTCTGAGGAAGTAACGCATAAGAGCTATCAACTAGGCCGTTTGGAACATTTGCATATTAGCCCAAGAATACGATCATTGTAAAAACGTTAAATCTGTCAAATGGAAACATCGGTAAATGGGCTTAAAATTAACGGTCTGGCATATTTACGAGTAATCCATGCAAGCATTGTACGAGGGACGAGTTTGAGATAGTTAATATTCATGCGTACGTGCGAAGTAGATCAATTAAACGTTAAAGTGGCCAAATAGCTGCCGCTTTTCCTAATGATCACGCATGGTGACATCTAAACTAGACTCCCTAAGGCTGTTCGTTGAAATTGCCCACTAAAATTCTAGTAAATGACCGAAAGAAAAATCTGAGTGTTAAGACATCAAGACGCAGAATTGCAATCAAAACGTCCACCGTCTGCCCCACAGAAAGGGTGATACAGATGCTGGACAACAAGGGATTACAGTTCCGAAAACGTATTACAGTCGGATGTTGTGTGTGCAATAAGAAAAATAGTGGGAGAAACGAGTGGTGCGAACGCGGATATAGTCACTAAGAAATAAATCAGGGGTTATCCTCACTAGGGGATTGTAATAACTCACCTGCTTTGTTTTGTACAGGCTTTTGTGCCACTCAAACCTCCGGACTGGATGTTAGCGAGAGTTTCAGGATTTAAAAGTGACTGTCGAACTAGCCGGAAGGCATCAGAATGTACAAAATCCAGAAAGTAACTTCGGGCAAGTGTATTCTGAATATCCATTTGAGCAGCATCAAAGAGAGAACGAAGTATGGGCAGCTTTTTATCACCGCTGATGCTTTTGTGATTCGCGTGAGAAAAGAGTGTGAGAGTTGAGCGTATCTCCCTTTTTGTGGATTCATTCACAGGAACAGACGAGGCGGCATCTGTTCGGATGTAAGTCCTGTAGATGGCCTTGGCAACTTGAAGCAATTTAAGTTGGTCATCGCCATCAATAATGGCTCTAAATCCTTTACATGCAAACCAAAAGTCCAGGAGGTGTCCGGAAGAAAATCGCGTTGACAGAAATTCATGAAAGAGTTGAACTCCATCGGAGTCGTTGAGTAAAGAATCCAACTGCTCGCCAATATGATGTTGAACTTCCATGGTAGAATGCAGAAGATGAAAACCAAGTGGTATTCAAGGACTCATGCGGTCGAAATCATTGAACGAAAAGTGATGCTACGCCCGCGCAGAAACACAAGCTCCCGAGCCTTTAAGGGCTAACATTGAGAAAACGCGGCGGAGAGGAGAGTACTACCTTTTAAACTAACTGGTAAATTTAAACAAAATTACGGCCCGAACAGGTTAGTATGTACCTTCACTTTGTTTTGAGATGAATAATTGGTATCGATGAGTAAAAAGGTCGAAAATTGGCTTGAAGGCGAGGACAAAAATTCCCGAAGTTCGTATTAACGCCGGCATTTATGCGGAAGGTTTGAAATGGTAACTTTGCGATATCGTTAAATATTCCTTGTTAATCTGTCTCATCCCTGCATTCGGGTTGTTTTTTTTTTCGGAAATTCGTTTCCTCCCGAAAGCAAATAATTCACCATCAGGTTGATATTCGCCATCGCCTTGCTGATACGAATTCAAAGTATCTAAGTATTCGTCCTTCCGAGTGCTGGGAATAAAGCAATGGACAATCCAGACTTTTTAGGAAGGTGGAAAAAGATGCACCCTAATTAGTCTCGCAAAACCTATAAGGGAATGAAAAAAATGAAATGAAAATGCTACCAAATCTTCCACTGAAAAATTATAAGGCGTTGCGACGTAAGCTTCTAGCATCCTTCTAGTACAGGAGGAGCACCTGCGTCTGAATGAATTTTGCATTGGTACAAATAAACCGCCTGCCAGTTGATGAACTGTCAATTGAAGTGCGCAGTTAATTCATAGCGGCCGCATTTTTGGAAACGGAGTCAGGAGAAGGTAGCCTGTTAAGTAGGCTGTTTGCGATTATGGACACGGTAAGCAAAATAATTGGCAGTTTAGCTTGAATTATAACCAATGCAAACGCGAGATGTTCATAGGAATATCTGATAAAATTGTCGTTAAAAACTCCTCGGCAGTATGGTGGGTTTCAAGTCCGTTATGTGGATCTATTATATAAGCAAAACAGGAAATATGTCTAAATATCCGTTTGCCGGACAAAAAGTATTTAACAAAATGTATTGCGCACTAACGGGTTCTCAATTAATGGTAGTAGGAATGGCCTGCAAGGTGGAGCGGTAAGAATATGGAAGGAGTCGCGGAAATCGTTGATCAAAGAAATTAGGGCGCCTTTCTGAGTATTTGCAAGCCCTCGTGCGCACAGGCTGTCAATGAAGTTCTTGTTCTCCGAACCGGCTCTCTTTCTGTTCCACTTTCCTTCCAGATCATAAAAAGATTGTACATGCGAATTTCAATGGTTGTGTTCATCTTGTAGAGCGAGTTAGGAGATAAGAGGGAAACCGCTATCTTCTCACTCAGATAAAAACAATGTTCATAATACGTAGCAAGGCCAGGCCCCTAGATGATTGTACAAAAGAATTGGAAGTCATTGCTCGATCAGACCTCGCCCACCTGAAGAAAGAAGGAACACCGCTGATCAAAATATTGGGCGGAGGTGCAAAGGGCAGAGAACAAAGTCCTTAAAAATCTCCATATTCTGTCGGGGTACAGCATAAAGAATTAAAGATCTACGGTGGTGCAGTAATACCATGTACCTCTGTACGGCCGTAAAGCCTCAATCTACTGAGCTCGTTTGCGTTGGCATAAAGTAGCAGAGGGTGACTGCCAGGTGGTCTTCAAAAGGCCAGCGGGAGCTTACAATAGTGCTACATAAAGGAGATATCGGCACGCCATGTGAGTTAAAACCAAGACAAAGTACGAAGGACAAAACTTCCGATGAGATGGAGGATGCATTTTACAATGCGCAACCGAGTAAAATGGAAAAACTACTCCCAACATAAAGAAGATCAAATTTCTCATGAATATGGACGATGAGAGCATAATAGCTAATGGAGTGATTTAACTGGAATCTTACACCAGGCCAGTTGAGATGGATGGGTGTGAGTGACGCGAAAGGAGGCGCCACGTTCAATCACAAACAAAATAGAGTAATAAGAAGAACCCCAAACTCAGTGTCAATAATTTTGAGAAATACAGAGAAATTTGATCCAAACTCTTTTCAAGAACATGCTGAAGCCCTGCTAAGGGACGATGGACCGCACATCATTCACAACGGATACAGAATAAGGAAGGCTTAGTCAGCGTCAGGCTTAGATTTTCGACTACGAACACTTTCAGAGACCGAAGCGCAGGCAAATCTTCGGCTACAGAGAAAGACATCTCAGCGTGATATGCGCCCTGTATTTTTAAACCGTATTACGAATCCAAAAAGAATAAAAATTAAATAACTGAAAATGTAGCTGAAGGATTGAGGGAGTGACTACTAAAAAGAGTCCGGAATAATAGATGGACAAATACTTCGAGTTGAGGGCAGTCAAAATGACAGCCTTAGCAACACGGAGATGTCGAATTTCGAGACTCCTACGAGAACTCGCGGCCGCTGTTCAGAAATCTATTGCATTAACGGTGTAGGGGTGGCAGCGGTGGGCTCACGTAATGGTCGTGGTGGTCGCTCACTTGCTTGCAGGTGAGACTGCGCCTAGCGTCCACATGCTGGCACTCAACCCTCACCTGTGGCTCCATGTAGCTGGACTGTGCTCAGCATCCACACCCCGGGAAACCGTCTCGACCGGCGGGCTAAACCAGGTGAGGGGGCACTGTGCGCTGTGCCGTGTGCACACGGTTTGCGGATTCCGCTGGATGGAAGGTCGGGTGGAACCTTGAGTCGGCACCGTCGTGACGTGGTTCGTCTCTGTCCGCCGCTGGATAGCCGGTGACGGGATGGATCTCCACATCGACACCGCCTTGACGCGCCCACCTTCGCCGACGGAGACCGCGGCTTTCGGCGAATTCGAGTCGCTCTCCACTACAACCCGAAGTCGTGGTCCCATAGTGGAGTTCGGCCGTGCCACAACGGCACATGGCAGCCCTATTCAGGGATGGCACTACCAGCCCCCACGAGGGGAAGGGCCTAGAAAAAGTGGCCTAAACATTGCTGGGTACCACGCTGTCTCCAGGCTAGCCGGGGCCGCAGACGTCTTATCATGGTCGAAACAATCAAAATCGAAACAACAACAATACCAATAACAACAACAACCATACTCATTCTCCTCATCCTACATCTTCTTCCTCTTCCTCTGCCTATTCTTCTGCCTATACTTCTCCTTCGTCACCTTCTTCTCCATCTCCTTCCCATCGTCCCACTCGTCATCAGACTGGCAGGGTGAGCCCGCTCACTCTGGCAGCCTGGAATGTTCGTTCCATTTTAGACAATCCGAGGAGCAACCGACCGGAACGGAGGACGGCGCCAGTGGCACGAGAACTGGCGCGCTACAAGGTGGACATCGCCGCACTCAGCGAGACCCGATTCTTCGAACAAGACCAACTGGAGGACGTGGATGCCGGCTAAACCTTCTTCTGGAGCGGTCGACCCAGGCCAGAGCGACGGGACGCGGGTGTCGCCTTCGCCATTCGGAACGACATCGTGGAACGACTGCCCTGTTTGCCGCAGGGCATCAACGATCGTCTGATGAGCCAACGTCTGCCCCTCCGGCGAGGAGGCAAATTCGTCACCATCATCAGCGCCTACGCTCCGACGATGACCGACCCCGACGCCGTCAGAGACAAATTCTACGAGGACCTGCACGCCCTATTGGCGACTGTGTCGAAGGCGGGCAAGTTGATTGTCCTTGGCGACTTCAACGCCCGCGTCGGCACAGACAATACGGCCTGGAAAGGAGTGCTGGGTCCCCACAGTCTCCGCGGTTCAAACGACAATGGTCTGCTGCTTCTCCGCACCTGCTCAGAACAACGCCTCATCCTGACGAACACGTTCTTCTGTCTGCCGGAGCGAGAGAAGGTCACCTGGAGGAATCCTCGGTGGCGCCAGTGGCATCTGCTGGACTATGTCCTCGTCCGGAGGCGAGATCATCGGGACGTGCTGGTGACGAAGGCGATCGCGGGTGTTGACGGGTGGACCGACCATCGCCTCGTCATCTCGAAGATGCGTATTCGCCTACAGCCTCACAGGAGACCACAAGGTAAGCGACCCCAGGTAAGCTGAATGTTGCTTTGTTGTCTTTGCCCGCTCACCGTCTTCATTTCAGCAATGAGCTAGCTCAACGGCTAGACAACCTTCCTATTGCTGCCTCCGATGACGCCGCAGCTGCCGAGAACGTCTCCGTGGAGAACCGTTGGGGTCAACTGCGAGACACGGTTCAGTCGACGGCGCTCGCCGTCCTCGGTCGCGTTCCCCGTCAACATCAAGACTGGTTCGACGACAACGACGCCGCCATCAGAAATCTGCTTGCTGAGAAGAACCGCCTACACAAAGCCTAGGTAGATCACCCAACCGATGCCACCAAAGCTGCCTTCTACCGCAGTCACCGCCAACTGCAGCAACGACTGCGCGAGATGCAGGACGCCTGGACTGCTCGCAAAGCTGAGGAGATCCAAGGATACGTGGACCACAACGAATGGAAGAACTACTTCACTGCGATCAAAGCTGTCTACGGTCCGCCGACAAAGGGCACTGCTCCTCTCCTCAGCGCCGACGGCAGCACTCTCCTGACTGAGAAGACGCAAATCCTACAGCGATGGGCCGAGCATTTCCGAGGCGTTCTCAACCGCCCCTCCGTCATCTCCGACGCCGCCATCGAGCGTTTGCCGCAAGTGGAGACCAACGTGGACCTCGACCTCCCGCCATCTCTCCAGGAGGCCATCAGAGCCGTGCAGCAGCTCTCCAGCGGGAAAGCACCCGGATCGGACGCAATCCCGGCTGACGTCTACAAGCACGGAGGTCCCCAACTGATGGATCACCTGACTGCGCTCTTCCAAGAGATGTGGCGTCAAGGTGAAGTCCCGCAAGATTTCAAAGACGCAACCATCGTGCATCTCTACAATCGCAAAGGGAATCGCCAAGTCTGCGATAATCACCGCGGCATCTCCCTGCTGAACATCGCCAGGAAGATCTTTGCCCGAATCCTTCTCAACCGCCTCAATAACCATCTGGAACAGGGCCTTCTAACGGAAAGGCAATGCAGCTTCCGTCGTCATCGTGGGACCACGGATATGATCTTCGCCGCCCGCCAACTTCAGGAGAAGTGTCAGGAGATGCGGACCCACCTGTACTCTAACTTCGTGGACCTGACGAAAGCCTTCGACACGGTGAATCGTGAAGGACTGTGGAAGATCATGCAGAAATTCGGCTGTCCGGAGCGATTCACTCAGATGGTTCGTCAGCTGCACGACGGTATGATGGCGCGAGTCACGGACAACGGAGCTGTCTCAGAGGCATTCTCAGTGACCAATGGAGTGAAGCAGGGCTGCGTACTGGCGCCTACCCTCTTCAGTCTTATGTTCTCTGCCATGCTGATGGACGCCTACCGCGACGAACGCCCCGGGATCCGCATCGCCTTCAGAACGGACGGTCACTTCCTGAATCAACGGCGGATGCACTTCCAATCGCGCGTATACACAACCACCGTTCACGAACTCCTCTTCGCCGACGACTGCGCCCTGAACACCACCTCGGAAGAGGAGATGCAACGGAGCATGGAACTGTTCTCCGCCGCCTGCGAGAACTTCGGTCTGGTCATTAACACGCAGAAGACGGTGGTGACGCACCAACCGCCACCTCACTCAGTCACAGCCTCCAACGCGCCGCCGCAAATAAGCGTGAATGGAACCCAACTGCAAGTGGTGGAGAACTTCCCGTACCTGGGCAGTACTCTCTCCCGCAACACCAAGATCGACGACGAAGTCGCCAACAGGATCTCGAAAGCCATTCAAGCCTTCGGTCGCCTCCAAAGCACAGTTTGGAATCGCCACGGTCTTCAGCTGAGCCCGAATCTGAAGATGTACAATACTGTATGGAGCGGAGACTTGGACGGTGTACACGAGGCAGGCAGGCCGTCTGAACCACTTCCACCTCAGTTGTCTTCGTCGCATCCTGAGGTTGAAGTGGCAGGATCGAATCCCCGACACTGATGTGCTGGAACGGACGGGAATCCTCAGCATCTACGCCATACTGAGGCAAATGCAGCTGCGCTGGAGCGGCCACCTGGTGCGCATGGACGACGAGCGACTACCCAAACGACTTTTCTACGGAGACGTCGCGGCGGGTTCTCGCCGTCAAGGAGGCCAGATTCGCCGTTACAAGATACCCTAAAGCCCTCCCTGAAACACCTGCAAATCAACCCCGCCTACTGGGAAGAGCTCGCACTCGATCAACCGACCTGGAGGAGGACAGTGAAGACAGGCGCTGCGATCTACGAAGCCAACCGCATCGCTGCCGCCAAAGCGAAACGAGAAGCCCGCAAATCACAACTTCGCCCAGTACGCAACGCCGCCGCACAACCGCTTCCAACGTGTCCCCGATGTCAACGGACATTCCGGGCTCGAATCGGACTTGTTGGACATCTTCGGATTAACTGCGCCTCTCGAACGGCCCCAACCATCGTCCCCCCGCCCGCCTCTTCCGCCTTCTCTCCGCCGCCAACTAACTCTGACACTACTTCTGACCCACCACTTCCATCCTCCTCC